GCAACTTCTTGTCATGTTCATAGACAAGTGGTGTGTCACATTTTCAGTCTATGAACACAACAGGAAGCTGCAATTCCAAGACTGTGCCTGTGAATTAAATCATTAACCAGTGCAACAAGATGCTGTAATGTAATATTATGACTACCAAATTTTTCCATGGTTCTCCTATGGCAAAAATTAGAGAGATAATTATATTTTAGGTCGTTATTCTGAAATATGTTGTCAGCACTGTTTTTTTAAATACTGTAATTTACATATAAGTTTATTTTATTGTATTGGGTCTTCATTTTGTTTGTAATAAGGTTTTGTGAAGCTGACGGAAATATTTTTGGTTGGTTACTTATGGTGCTGTCATTATTGAAACTATATAGCACTAATGACAGGATGATTAATGAATGTGAAGCTCTTGATGGAATGGAAATTGGCAGGGGAAACCAAAGTACATTGAGAAATCCCACCCCACTGCCACTCTGTCCATCAAAAATCCCATGTGACCTGATCTAGGATTGTACCCAGGCTGCTCCAGTGTGAAGTCAATTACCATCTGCGTGAGTTATAGCATGACCTGACAGAATTATTAAAGACAGCATATTTATTTTAACAATTAATGTGCCCCCAAAAAAATGCAGTATAAGAAAACAATTAAATCATAACAGTGAAACATCCACATAACTGGCACATTCCATTCCCCATATATCTATCTATCTTCCTGTTGCTCCCACTTGGAGCATAGGGCATCCTCCATGAAACACTTCATTTCACTTCAGTTTCTTAATCTTAGACAGTCAGTAGGACTCCTTGGATGGGGAATCAGCCCATCACAAGGTAACTGCACACACACAGAATAAACGCAAACAAACGTCCATGCCTTGAGTGGGATTTGAATCAACGATCCCAGTATTTGAGTGAGCAAAGACATTTCATGCCTTAGACCACATGGCCAATGTGGTCGGCCCATTCCCCATTCATGTAGGACAACATGGAGTTTACCGTAATGTGACTGCATACAATGTCACTTGTCCACTGAACAACACAGTTTTTCATGGTGGGTCATGTGGTTGTCCTCATAAAATACCATTAGTCAGATATACTGACCTCAATGCTGCATATAACCATTGACCTCGACACATCTCTAAATCCACAAACTGAATGCTGTGGAGCATCAGTCACCAGTTCTAGTTCAATCACAGCTTTTGGGTAGAAGACAATTCTGTTTTAATCTGGGGATGGAAACACCTTCAGAAGTACTTATCTTTTCCATTATTATGTTTTGTTTCCTAAGTGTTAATATACTTTCTAAAGAAATCTGTAAAATATGACAAGAGGAAGAAAATAGTTACATTCCCATCAAATATACCTTTCATTTTCCTGCATAATATGAGTAACGTTCGGTATACCAGCAAAATTGGATATGCACAAGCAGTGAGTTTTCCAGACAGCACAGCCATGAAGTAAACTTATGCATTATTGGCTGGTGCAGCTTGGCCTGAGGAGCATACACCTCTTCTGCCTAAGTCCACACTCACAAAAGAACTCACTGTATATGGAGTATCTTACTCTTATATTTGTACAGATTAATGTGACTGTTCATACATATGTGTAATGTGTTGTACATTGTACGTTGACCACTGAACGTGTGTGCGATTGTATGTGTGAAAGGATGAGTAAGTGAATAGTGTGGTATATAATTCTGAAAAATATAAATTTTCTTAAGTCCATATAATAAAGCAATATTGGTTTATTTATTTCTTCCTAAACTTTGGATTATATTAGTCCTATATTAAAATGGATAGATCTGTGTAGGTCTGGACTACAACATTTGAAAGTGTTATCAAGCAGTGCACAACCAGATAGTACTGCAGCTTCTTAAATAAGAATATTAACACCATCATTGCCCTAAAAGGTATGCTGTCATGATAAAATTCTGTTCATCCTAAAATCAGTGTCTATGTTAGTGGATTCTGCCACCCCATTCATCTTGGGTCTAGCTACGAACTATCATATTTGTTCTGATCTCTGATGACTAAATCCATAATTCTTCTGTCAGAAAGATGGAATTATACTACCCTGCACACAGGTTATGTTTCTCCATAGTTCAGTGCTACATAAGTTTGTCTGTTCTAACAGCTGAGTCTGACTGCAACTGATACATTGAAGTGAAAGACTAGAGAACTGCAAGATTCAATTGTGATGAGAAAATTGCACTGACTTTCTCTAGAAGTCATTCCCAAGAAACACTATTTTCAGTAGGCAGTACAGAGTTCCTTAGGATTACAATTTTTGCCTATACTGTATTAAATAAGAAAGACATAACATTAAATCAGTTTCCTCATCATTTAAGTTTCATGAATATGTAAATCCCACATCATTTTACACTGTCCATGTGCAGTCTGAATTCCATTTCTTCTTACACAATGGGTTAGACTTTTAGCCAAGCCATGGAATTCACAATATTCTTTATTCCCAAAAAGGGAAATCTGAGGATTTTTAGTGACATTTTTCACTAATTAAAGCTCCCCCCCCCACACACACACACATACACGTGCACACACACACACATAAAAGAACAGTTTTTTTTGTCACTGCCTCAAAACACAATCAATGCATCTGTACCACATTACACTTAAAAAGCTCCTGAAATAAAATCAATATCTATGAAGCCTTTTGCTCATGCAAAATGTGTTATAATGTCACTACTCAGCACTCACATGAATAATGGAAGGTTAAGCCTTTCCCATCCTTTTTATTTCCAACCTCACTCCTACTAGCTACAAATTAATTTACTTTAAATTGAAAAATAAGATACTTTGGTATGGGAAAATATAAAACTCCTGCCAGCTGTTGTACCTATATATGATCTACTGGAAGGGATGTCAAGCATTTAAAGAACAAACATTTAACACTCAGCATGTGGTCATAGTGTGGCAGTATATTTGTATCAGTGGCAAAAGACTGCTGGCAGAGGATATGTATGGAAAAATTAGGATGTCAGGATGTCAGAAGCCTTCTAACATAGGATAAGAAAGGGTTAAGGCAGGAAAGCATGATACCGAACAGCACATAGAGAATTAATTTTGTGAATATCTGAAGGCCTTTTGTTACTTTTCTGGAAGGGGTCACTGAGAAGTTAAAAGTCTGACTGAACAAATCTAAAGCAGTTTTGTTCAACCACTTTACACAGTTCATTACACAAGACAGGGTATTATATAACTACGTTTCACTTTCAATGTTGTTCATCTTGCCATAGAACATCCATAGTTCATGTCATTTATGAAGTACTGCTATAACCAATACATATTTGATTTCAGAGAATAAAATTAGTGATAAAATTTTATGCTGCAAATTTTCGCATTCATTTAAATGTTTGCATAAACATAAGCATCACAATATGAAGATTTATAAAGGCATGGAGGTAAAGTATACATGCATGCATAGACACACAGTCTTAACTTCCACATGAGATAAAAGTGAGCATATTGAGAAAGAACTCTTGATACCCACTTGGTGGGGTATTAGCAGGTCTGGACATGGTCATGAAGAAAAAAACCTTGGCTCCTGCCAGGAATATTTCCTTTTTGGAGATAACCTGCTCTCATTTAAGTTACTGAATGTAACTCATCTCAAGTATGAGGAGTGAATCACAAATCTCACTCACAGCCTCTTGCTGCTGATGCCTAAAGTGCTACATTCATTTTATGGGCTTTGGCCATGCCAGTGTTAATGTTTCACTCAGCAATGTAAATCAAGTCTTAAATAATAAACTTTCTGCTTCCTATACTGGATTTGATACATATGTCCTAGAGTGTGTGTGTGTTTATATATACTAGTCAGTAGGTGGTGTATACTTGTACACAGCTACTGGTATTAGATCATGTATACAAATGATGGAAAACAAAGCAGTAATTGAACAGTAAAAGTCAGTGTGGTTAGATACTGCTGGCAACTTCTAACAGTGTGTTAATAAGATGCTTATTTACTTCTTATAAAGGTTTAGGGTTCATTGGAGGTACCTTAATAACCTTTATGAGTTCTGACCATAAGCCAATAATTTTTAATAATCTGGTAATGCAGTAAGTTTGTGGCCAGAATTTTGTTAGAAGGTATAGAATTTTTATGAAACACTACTTCTCTTTATTCTTTACAAGTTTTCAAGCAACCAGATACAAAAAAATTTGTACCTCTTCTGAGAAGATGCTTGTTCAAGCATACAGTAGCTTTCACAGAGATATCAAATGGAACAGAATTTTACATTTTATACTCTATTACATAACACTGAAGGCATTATTAATCTGCCTTCATGCCCCCACACAAACAGAATAACCCAGTTTTTTTATTTAGGGTATAAGTAAATTTGCATCACAGATAGCGCTCCATGCATTTTTAACTTCAAAATGTGGAAGTATGCAGTCAGCTGTACACTCTGGCTGTTTTTCCACCAGGGAGAGCTTACAATACCTATTGGGCAGGAGGTTTCACAGTGGGCCCTAGGGCCAAGTTGGATGCAATGACAGAGAAAAATCCCTTCACCTCCTGGAAATTTAATCGTGTTCATACAGCCAGAACTACTGACTTTAGTGACTAAGATTTAAATTAAGAATTATTTATGAATCAGAAAGGTGAGCCAAACTGTTCTACAGACACATAAAAAAGTCAAAAAATCTCAAACAGCATTAATACATACATTCCATTATGAATTCAAACCGTAACAATGTCTGATAGTATTTTAAAATATTAAATATCTAATCTTCAATTCTGCAATACTGGTTATAGCTGTACTCCACAGCTTCATTTGTTAAGTACTAGTGACAGTCATAATGAAGCTCATGATTATGAAGTCCATATGCAGCACTCACATATAACAAGCCAGTCAGTATCACACCATGAACAGTTCTATATAGCGAGTGCCCATGTTGTGACGATTCTTGTCATGAACGGCTCGTTCTGCATCAGCCCGTGTTGGAAAGGAGACAGTTGCCTCACCAGTGGGGTGTCCATCGGCGCTACGCTGCAGCTGAATGCACTCCGGGGTGAGCTGCAAGCACATAACACACGCACATGCTTCAGATTTTCATCGTCACTCTTAACTTTCCAGACAATAACTGTTACAATATTATAAAACAAAATTCTCTGATCTTTTTGGTCTTAAAAATGTCTTCTTCCTGTGGACTGACATTTCATAATTATCTTGGGGAATCCTATCCAAAAATCAACACACTTTCCAATTTAGTATATACTTGTAAGTTTCCTCTAACATTTGTAGTGGACCCAGGATAGCTCAACCGATATAACAACGGGTTATATGCTGGATGGCTGACATTTGATTCCCGGCAGAACTCAAAAGGTTAGGTCACTATCATGTTATTATTATTTAACACACAAAAAAGTCGATACAAAGCTTGCAGATGCGTTTATAATCTCTAAGCATATAAATCATAAAAATTTACCTACTATTGTTTATTATTATTATTATTATTATTATTATTATTATTATTATTATTATTATTATTATTATTATTATTATTATTGGGCTGAGACTGAGTCCACTTGGTACTATGGCCAATACTGTACCAGCCCCAGATGATAGATGATGGTGACTGTGGAACAATCGGTGGAATAAAAATTGGCAGGGGGAACCAAAGTACTCAGAGAAAACCTGCCCCAGTGCCATTTTGTCCACCACAAATCCCACATAACCAGACCCAGGCTCGAACCTGGGCCACCACAGTGGGAAGCCAGCGACTAACCACCTGAGCTATGGTGCAACCCTAACAATTTACATTACAACTGCTCAATACATTGCATAAATATTATACTATTTTACTTTTTGTACAAAACTGAGTGTCTGGGAGGATTATACAGGAGTAGGGTACAAAGCACATATAGAATGTCCTCAGAAGATTAAGACGTGATCAGTAATGGCAGAAATATTGGCATCTCAAGAACTTAATTATGTTAACATACCAATCTGATATATATTCATATACATAGTTTATTAGTAACCTGTCCTAGAAACCTAAAAGTTGAGAGATGAAAAGCAGTTATGCCCATCACTGACTGTTATTACTTTCATGATGACACCACCTGTGCAGTTTTATTTAAGGAGATGGTTTCACAAATTATTAAAATTTAATCAAAACTGTTTGACCTGTTTTTGAAAAAATCCACATTTTAATCTTTTGGCTCAATCTTAAGGCCCCCTGTTTTTGTGCTAGGAAGTTCATATTCACCAGGCATTGACCCATAGTGGATAAACACTTAAATATCAAATATAAATTAAATTTGCAGGATTGTTCAGGCACTAGTGAGATACACATTTATCCATTCATACATACAGGATGTAAATAAATATAGATTACAACCCTCTGTGGTAGATAGATGGGTTCAAGCTGATCATATTTTGTTAATACACCCACGTCCAGAAACGTTTCCTTTTGGCACTAACGGTCACAAAATTTTCCGAGAGGATGCATAAGTTTTAGGACATGTTATCGTTGTTTTACATTATAAAAGTTGTTCAAAATGGTGGCCGCCGACTTCATTATGTTTGCACCGCCTGGCTATGTTATGCTGGACTCTTTGAAAGTTTCCTGGAATTTCCCAGATGGTTCCAGCTGCTATTGAAATTCTTGCCACAAGATCATGTTGTGTCTCCACTAGAGTCTCGTACACCAGGCTTTGCATGTACCCCCCGGGAAAGAAATCCAATGGAGTCAAGTCAGGAGTGAGGGGCCAGGTTATTAGGCCTCCATGTCCAATCCATATGTTGTCAAAGCTTTCATCCAAATACTCAGAGACATTAGTGCAGTGTGCTGGGGCACCATCATACTGGAACCACATTTCACGACAGACTTCCAAAGGCACCACTTCCAGCAGCTCCAGTAAGGCCTCTTGGAGAAATGTTCAGTAAATTCCACCAGTAAGCCGCAGAGATAAGGGCATCCTCCTTCACATTTCAGCGGCCCTAACACGTAAGCAAAGTGTTTCCAGACATGGATGTATTAACAGAATGTTATCAGATTGAACCCATCTATCTACAACAGAGAGTTGTAACATATATTTATTTACACTCTGTACACACACACACAGCCATACAGACAGAGAGACAGCACTACAAAAGCACTTACTTGTATTCAGGGTACTGAAAACAAGTAAATCCATCAAAATCTTGAAATAAATTTGTTTCATCACCACAATACTTTCTCATATGTGATACATACATGAGAAAGTTAAATGTCTCTTTTATACTATGATCAATTGAACAAGGGTCATAACATTACACTGCGTGACAAGTGGAAGAATCTTAAAATTACATAAAGTTCTCAAAGTCATGAGACAAAGAGGACAGCATGACAATTCAAGACTGACTAACCTTCACCACATTAGAAGCTTTGCCACTGTACAACTAACAGACATCCCCCACCTTGTTTGAATCTTACAATAGTTAATATTAAAAATATGCCTGATACACATGCTCAAGTTTTAAGCTTCTAGTAACTACATTATGCATGGTCTAACAAGCTGTATGACATATCTGACCAAATCGTCTTCAGTCTGCCAAGGGTGAGGTTCATATAAATTCACCCCTGTAACAAGCTTTATAAACTTTCTGTAAGCCATTAACCTCAGGATCTCATTTAAATGGACTGTGTATGACATACTTAAGTATTCATAATATAAGGTTACCTGGGAAATTTAGCCACGAGTTATGCAATGGCAGTTTGGGCTTTTGACATACACGTGAGTCAGGTTCGGTATTGGGGCACAAGGGGTTAACTTTTAAAGAATTATAGAGCAATTAAATTAAATCTACATTTCAACCACAATTCCAAACTTTCAGGCCCTAAAACAGATTCTTGTGAAACTTATAACAAATAATGTCCACTGCCCTAACGAAGTTATAAGTCACCCTGAGTTTTGTAAAAATTTGCTTAGCTCTCCAAAAATTTACCAAACCTCTTTCATTTAATATCCTTATATCAAATTAAAAATGTGAGCTTCAGTGCAGCATCAATTATCATAAAAAAGAACAGACAATAAGACAAGAGTGTGACACATAAGAAGTTCCAGATAGAACCCATCTACTTCCCTATTGCAGACTTCCAGGCATACAAATATTGTGTTGTTAATGCAAATTCAAAATCCAACATTAAAATACAGTTTGGCTCATGAACTGGCATACTGCACTCCTGCACAGAAATGCACTGAATCCTAATCAATTCTCTTATTTCCATTGCTTGCAAATTATAAACATATTACAGACTGCCATTATCATCATATTGGGAAGAACTTATTAAGACAGATTTTATCTGTGTTAAATCTGTCAAATAAAATCTCAAAGTTTGCACCATTGGCATGTTTGTGTTTATTTATAATAAAAAAGAATATGTAGGTATTTTTATGGTCTATCTCTGTACCAAATTTCAAATTCTTAGCATCAATGCTTAATTAGTTATTGCCATCAAACTTAAAGACAAATATGGATTTCATTCATCTGTCATTTAGTGGTTTTACATTGTTTTCCCAATTTTTTTTAAGTTCTATTGCACTGTACTAAGTGGTGCTACAGTTGCCGTTGCCAGAAAATTTTCTGCAACCACCAACTTGTTATTATAGATCGTACGAAATTATGAAGCATGAAGTTCAGGTAACCTCCAATGATATAATGTTGATTCCAAATTTCATGAAAATCAGCTTATTGATTCAAACATTCAAAGGTGGACACAAAGAGACACATAGACAGCATGGTAATCTCAGAACCCTGCCTTCTTTCTTTAAAGAAGGGAAGGTAAGCAAAATGAAAGAAGGGGTAGAAAAGAAACAAGGGCATTTTATTCTCTTAATTCGGTTTAATACTTTCACATCTGAATTTTTTTCATACTATTTAAAAACGTGTTTCCTCTTCAGATTTTAAAAACACAGCAAATACTCAGCATGCATTAACTTAACTCAGTGGTTTCATGCAAATGCAAAGCATAAGCCAAAAACACAGTAAGATTAATTTCCACTTACTGATGTTATGTGTGTTCGGATGGCTGGGATTCAGATAATCGATGCTCCACTGCAAAATGTAACGAAAATCATTCGTTAACATTTCGTTATAAGCAAGGTGATAACATCAATGATATTGGAGGCTGAATCTTTGGCTGTAATTAGACAACAAACTAAACACTTATTGAATATAATCTCCATAATAAAACATTAACAGATATAATACTTGATTTCTTTAATAACTGTCCAAATCAAAGTCAAATTTAAAAGAAATTTATCTTAACATGTTTCTCTTAATAACCGTACAAAATTGACAAAGCTAGTACATTTTAAAATTACAAACTACACATTTAGTTTCACTTACTTTTCAACTTAAGAAGTTAACTTTTTTGCTCTGAGTCCAGCCAGGTGCTGTGTCAGAGGTGAATCCCAAATGAGAAATGGTGGAAATAGTTTATGTTCACTGATCAGACCTACTGAACACCTCAGCGGCAGTGATAAATGAGTAATGGAGCATTAGATGAATGCACACTGGCAAAGAAAAAGCAAGTAAGGAGCATCAGTGGAAATTAAAATAATTGCAGATAACCTAACAAGTGTCACTTTGACAGCCATAAACTCCATTTGGACTGCTCTAAGACAGAAACCAGGCCTCTGTGGTAAGAAGCCAGCATCTAACAACCTGAGGTGTGACATAGACAATATTTCATATGTGGTTATATGAATGTTGAATGCCTTTCTAGGCATATCTGTAATCCTGCAGAATGCCTGTTAAGTTTGCTTCATCAGTCCGCCTGTATGAATACAACTCCAGAAGTGCTGAATGGATTTTCATGAAATCTGATATTGGTGCATTTTATGAAAATATGTCAATATACTGCAAATTTTGGTTTAAATTGGACAAAAATAATGGAGACTTCACATGACAACCTTATGTGTTTCTGCGCACATCTCAGGCATAACTTAGAGCAAGTAGTTATCAAAATGAACAATGTTTCAAACAAGTTATAGAGGAAAATGGAGTACACATGTTCAATACTCTTTCCTTGTGAACCTTAACGGTTTCCAAGATAATTAAAAAAAGGTATACCATGTGTACATTCCTAAACTGTATCCCAGAAACTCAATATTGACATTCTGAATGCACATGAAGAATAGTGAGCAATCAACAATGGTTGTCCAAACACACACAATGATTAATGGATTCTTCTATTCATAATAATAATTAAATGAAGCTTTTTCCACCAAGTATCTTGTTCATCGTAAAATTTCAATTTATGAATGGCATTCCGTATATAATGCCTCATATTTTTTTGTGTTAATATGTGATGTCTGAGCTGGATGTTGGTGGTGTTGCAGTAAAGGTTGAACCTTCCCACCAATGTACTGTTAGTTTGGTTGTCGTGCAACAGATAGCGACAGCAGAGCAGTCTACCAAAATGGTGTCTGACATAGAAGTGCATACGAAACAGAGATGTGTTATTGAATTTCTCACTGCCAAACAAATTGCACCCATTGACATCCATCAACACTTGCTAAAGGTGTACGGAGACGAGTGCATTTCAACAGCAGCGAAAGTGAAGTGCACGACAAGCCACGCCCTGGGTGTCCCTGCTCAGCTGCCATTCCTCACAATGAACAGCACCTCAATCAGCATATCCATACAGATCGGCGGATAATGACCAGGGAACTGTGTGCATGGCTTAATATCAACTGCAATGCATTGGAAACGATGTTGGGGAAGCTGGATTATTGCAAAGTTTGTTCCAGGTGGGTCCCGCGGACGCTTACACAAGACAACAAAACTCATCGAATGGAAGTCTGTCAGGACCTATTGCACCAGTATGAGGCTGAAGGTGACAAGTTTCTGGACACCATCATCACCAAAGATGAGACGTGGTGTCACCACTATGAGCCGGAATCCAAAAGACAGTCCATGGAGTGGCGACATCCGGATTCCCCAAGAAGACAGAAGTTCAAGACACAGCCATCGGCAGGGAAAGTGATGTGCATGGTCTTTTGGGATAGGCGGGGTGTGATTTGTTGGATTTCCTGGAGCCTAGTGAGACTGTCAATTCTGAGCGCTACAAGACGCTGACTAAGCTGAAAGCCTGCATTTCCTGAGTCAGGCCAGAGAAGCAGACAACCTTTCACTTGCAACGTGATAACGCTAGACCCCATACCAGTTTGGTGACCACCACGCACATTGCAAAGTTTGGCTGGACTGTAATACCACATCCACCTTATAGCTCCGATTTAGCACCTTCAGACTTCCATCTCTTTGGGCCTATGAAAGATGGACTACTTGGGCAACATTCTCCAGACAATGATGCTGTCATTGCAGCTGTAAGAAAGTGGCTAGCCTCTGCTGGTGCAGACTTTTACAGATGCGGCATGCAGGCTCTTGTTCATCGCTGGCAAAAGTGCATAATGAATGGTGGTGATTACATGGAAAAATAACTGTAAGTAGCTGAAATCTTGCTCTATTTAACTGTGTTATTATACTTTCTGTATCTGTTGTAGTTTTCATAAAAAAAAAATAGGAGGCATTATATATGGAACGCTCCTCGTACATGACAACAGAGGCCTGCACTCTTTCAGCAAAAGATTGCAATTAAGAAATCCTGATTGAGTTTAGATTGTATCGAAATCATATTTTATTCTTTTGATGCAGTGCTCTGAAATTTTTATGTTTATATTAAAACATTATATATTTAACTTCTCCTTGGTATATGTAATAGCAATGAACAGCAGAGCATTAATATGGATTATTTATTCATTCTGTATACAGCCTTGAACTGTGTCCAGTTTGAATAAGTACCAAATAACAGTGAATAGTTACATGGGAATTAAGTGTTTTATTATAAAGGAAGGGTCTCTAAAATATGGCACCTCAAAAATCACTTCACTTTCTCACACTACTCATATTTTCTCATTTTATATACAATTTGAAGGGTGTGGGTATTAACATGTAATTTATAATTTCTTCTGAGGAACACATCTGTGAAGTGTATTCAGTATACTTTCACAATTTTGTTTCCTACAACTTCACATGTTTGACTTTACTAGAAATGCATGCTGGCCAACAGCCATTAATGGAAAAGATAAGCATCAACAGTCAGTATAAATGTAAAGACTCTCTGGTATAATATCATTTTCAAATTCAGATTCACTTGATGCACAGTCTTGAAATTTGGTGTGGTAACTGATATTTGAAAAATATGGAAATGATTTGCATATAATTATTGTTTATATGTAAATATTCAGACACATTCCAACAATAAGAAACTTTGAGTTTATATCTGACTACTGGAAATTATACATAGAAATGGATCACTAAATTGTATAATTAATAATGTATAGTTCCTGCTAACTTCATTATAAGCTTACTGACTCAAGACATTTGAAGGAAAATATGTGTCATAAGTTCTTCCCAGAAGGTTTTGTTATTTATCAGCATTACAAAACATTTCTCACAGTGGAATCCTAGATATCATACTTAACCTCTGTTTGAATTTACTTTAAACAATAATCAATGTGACCAAACTACTACAATTTGTATGAAGACTTCATTTCACCACCTTTAAGCTTCAGCTATATCCCATACAGCTGAGCCTTAAAAGTTACGCACATCTATGAAAATTAAGTAAACCAATACAACACCTACTGTCTATAACATCAACCACTAATTACCAGTAGACACCGTCTGGAACCTTAATAAATATAACCAATGCTGCATTTCTAATTGGGCCAAATTATAGTCAACCACACATTAGAAAGCCAACTATTTTGTGTATCCCTGAAACCAAACATACCAACACCAGGCGAAAAGGAGATATTACAGTGACACCCAACAAAATACTTCTTAAGCTTTCAATTCTTCAGCCATAAGTAAAGCCAATGACAGCTGTGCCTTCAGCAAATCAAGACATGAATGTAAGAATGTTATTAGTCTTCGCAAATACATCAAATTCGTATTTCCCACCTGCTAAGAAGAACTATCAACTTGTATGCAAACTCCAGATCTGTGTTTGTGTGAAATGCTTGAAAATTGCACTAATTTCCAGATAGTGAAATCAATGTCAGTACATTAGGAACACTTGCCAAATTGTAGTTGCCTGCTGCATGCTATAAAAAATGGCATAACTCAGAACTCAATAAATCTCAGCAGCTCTAGGAAGTCTTCAGAAATAAGAAGCCAGAGTGTAAATTTAAATATTTATAAATAAATAAACAAAAATCAAATATATGAAGTTCAGTCAAGCTGTAATGAAGTAAAAATGAAGATATAATATATACCTATATGTAATATATCTCTGATGCTAAATAGCTTTGTCACCATTAGAATTTCTGATTGTGTGTAATGTACATGCACTGATCATTAGCTCTGTCAACAGTACTACATTTATATCTGCAACAAATGAAAAGCCCAAGGTGGAATCAAAAATCACAAAGAAAGTCTATCAAGAAGTCCATCCTTTTTTTTTTTAATTCATTTAGTGGGGGGTGGAGTCCAACTGGGTCCACTCGGCAGGGCAGCCACTGATTGGCCTATTGTAGCCTGCTCTGGGTGATTATGATGATGGAGAATTTGGTGGAATGAGGATTGGCAGGGGAAACCAAAGTACTCGGAGAAAACCTGCCCCAGCGCCACTTTGTCCACCAAAAATCCCACTTGACCAGACCTGGGATTGAACCTGGGCCACCACAGTGGGAAGCCAGCAACTAACCGCTTGAGCTATGGCGCGGCCTAGCCCATCATTTAGTCTAATCTCTTATACAGAATCAGTATAGGCTAATTTTAGTGACTTTCAAAATTTTGTCAGCATATTCATTACCCTCATTCTTGTCAAATTTTTTAATGATGCTGTCATTCTTAAAACTGCATAACTTTGTATGGTAGGATTACTAACGAAAGATGAATTGGCAAGAAGTTTGAAAGAAGCAGTCATGACCTAATCCATGCATTATCTCAGAATTTGCCTTGTGGGACTAAGGAAAACCACAAAGAAAACCTCAGCCAGGCTCAGTCCTGGCCAACATTTGAACCAGTACCTCATGAAGATAGAAGCATTACCACTAGACTAACTGTCCAGTTTCGTTCTCAGTTTCAACATGGAATATAACAATGTGTTGTGTCAGATGTGACATTCTTGAAATGCACGTGTAATCTATACTACATCTATATCACACTATAGACATTGGAGTTCATGGAGTTGCAAATTGTATTTCCTTACATTTCATTATATTTATAATTTATGAGAAATGTTTCAAATAAATGTTTTATATCAAAACAGGACCAAATTTCATATCATGTATACTAAACTCTTTTTACATTAACCGTTTTTGTGGAAAGCGACAAAGTGATAAACTCCAGATCAATGTAAATTAAGAGTTGGTATTTGCTGATACAGGAAAAAATTAATTTTACCTGACAGTCATCAGCATTGACTACCAACAGTAAATTCAATACAGTGAGTATTTTTGAATAATGAATAGAGAAGGACAGACAGGACTTGACTTCCTCATTGTGCACTAAGTTTATATTTTATACACTCTGTGCAAAAGATTTTAAGATCTGAGAGAAACCTGACTCCTTCTTGTATGACTGTGTACATTGATCCATTCAATAATGGACCAAAGCTGGTCATTCTTCAGAAGTGGACCCTAAGGTCCATTACTGTGTTCACAGAAGCCAATTGATGGTTCTATCTTGCACTAGCTGAATTAAGTCCAAACCTTCATGCCCTGTTTCTCCAAGATAAGTGTAGTTCTGCCAAGTGGTCTCTTCCCTTACAGCATTCTGACCAAAATTGTGTATCTCATTTTTCTTATGCATGCTATATGCCCTTATCATCTAATCTTAATCACTGCCAACTATATTAATAATGAGAATAAGTCACAAGGCTCATTATAATATTTCCTCTAGTCATTTGTTAAATCACCTCTCCTAGGCCCTGTGTTATGGACTGTACAATGTATGTTGTAAAACAATATAAGTACATATTTAAACTACACCACCAAATATGTTTTATGCACAAGCCCTGTAAGTGACTAGTCTACTGCCAATTCATGCTTATAGATGAGCCAAGTACAGGAAGTGTTACACTCAAGTCCATTGACTAATTCACCCAGGTGTGACATGCAATAAGATTCAGGTAATAATAAAAATTGCATTCAGAGACAAGCAAAAATCACTGCATATCATTTCAGATGCCAATTCAACCATCTGAACAGACTTTTTT